GAGAAAAGAAAAGAGTATTTACTTAATCCTAAATTCAAGCAACATCAAGTTTTTTTTCATGCATAAAATGTGACTCATAAATGAACCAAGTAAAGCTAGTTAAAAGTTGTTTTTGAGTTAATAAAGCCTGATAAATAAAAAAAAACTGAACAGGCAAAAAAAGCGAAAAAGAAACAAATTGACAATACTTCAAAAAAAAAAAAAAAGAAGAAAAAATTTCCTATTGAAATAAAAGAAGGAAAGAAGAAACCGGCATGGAATGAGAAAAAGAAAGAAAAAAAGTAAAAAAAAGCTGATCAAGCGGTTAGATTTAATAAGGAACTGAGAAGAAAAAAAAAAAACAAAATAGAAGCAGAAACAGATAATGTGCATAATGCTGATTTAGATAAAAGAAAAAAAAGAGGATTAACATAAAAAACAAATGTTTCTTTTCTTTAAATGAAATATACCATCATCAAGCAGTATTTCAATAGTTGTCACCGCTTTTAACGGTGGTTTCCCTTGATCTGCAGCATTCACTGTTAACACATAGCTACTTTTGGTTTCACGATCCAATTTTTTTGCCACCGATATAAGCCCTTTGTTTTCATCAATGGCAAAATCAGTGCTGTCTACAAAAAAATAAAAAGAACCAGTTGTTTTAAGTTTTTTCTTTTTCTGGACAAAAAATAAAATAAAAAAATTTTATTTTTTATGCTGGATAGTTAGAAAAAATTGAAACGAACAATTTGAAGCTATTAATGTGCTCTACAGAATGAATTTACCTATTGCATATGTCAATCGAGCGTTTTCTCCGCGATCATTGTCCTTTGCTCTTAATTGCAGCACTTTTGAACCGACGTCCAAATTTTCAGGAATATGAATGGAATATGGATGAATCAGGAAATATGGAGGTTCATTAACGTCTTTAACGATGAAATTGATCGTACATTTGCCTTTTAGCCCACCCGAATCTGTGGCAGAAATTATGGTTTTAATAACGTCATCGGTTTTACGAAAACTATTCGACAGTGTCAATAAAACACCCTAAAACTGATGCATATAAATTTTCGTAATTTGATCGCTGTAATTCTGTATTAATTGCTTTTCTTCGTTCATTTAGTAAGCATTTATTTCTATAATAAGAAAATCAAAGATGCTCCATTGAATCATCATTATCGCCTTTTTCCATTGTCTAAAAACAAATTCAACAAGCAGAGTTTTTGCAGAACTAAGTGATAACCTGTTCGCCGAGATCGATAAGCGCGAAAATGTTCCTGTCGCTTTTCTCAATACGATATTTCAGCTTCTGATCTTCGTCGAGGTCAATTGCTCGTACTGTGTACAAAGCTGTTCCTTTGACTGTATCTTCTGGGAAAGTCAAATTTAGCGAGGCTGGTTCAAAATATGGTGCATTATCGTTAACATCCCGAACATGAACAGTAATTGAAGCCACCGAGGATAACGGTACTTCTCCGCCATCTTTGGCTATCACCTAAACTTAGTAACAGTGGAACAAAGAAAACGTAATGAAAGCATAAAATTAAGTTTTAGATATCTCTTACTTCACTAATTTCTCAATAGCTTTTAAGCCATAGCTTTGAAATGTTTAAACGTATTATTGCTCACTTTAAACTTATAAGTATCACGTGTTTCTCTGTCCAACTCTTGTTTTGTTCTTATACTTCCAGTTACAGAATCAATTTCAAAAACTTTATCATCAGTATTTGGCGCTATCATTTCCAGCGAATAACGTACTGCACTATTTTTACCAGAATCTTCGTCCACAGCAAAAACGCGTGTAATCTCATGGCCAATTGGAACATTCTCATCAACAAATACTTGCTGTTGTAAAGATACAAAACGTGGACTCTAAAAATCGTAAATAAAAAAATTTTCAAACGAGAAAACCCTACAGTATTTTTTTGCAAAAACAAATTGATATCGGATACAAATAGTGACCATATGCTCCACAAATTATGGACAGAACACAATAAAAGATATGCTTTAATTCAGACGATCTGGCACGGTCTTCTTCCATTGTTTTCACCAACAATTAATTTCCTCCCTTCATCCCCTTTTCCCTTCTCATTTTTTTATTAAGCAAAAAAAATTTTTTTCCAGCTTCTTCTTTACAAAATAAAGAAAAAAAGTGGAAAAGCTAACATGATCATTGATGTCGATAATATGTATTGTACAAGTTGTGGTACTCGACAAAGCTGGTTGACCCGAATCTTTAGCTCTGATTAATAATGTTACCGGACTAGCCTCAGCGTTCAGCCTTTCATGCAGCGTTATAACGCCGCTATCATAGTCAATTGAAAAACCACTTGAACTTGAGGTCACAATACTGTAGTGGATTTGACCTGACACAAAACAACTATAGTTTAAGCATTCTCACAAACTGGAAAAACAAAATTTACGTAGTATTAAAAAATGATACTAATACATTTTTCAGAATAAGTAAAATAAAACAGTAAGCCACAATGCTGTTAAAATGATAACGACAATTTGTACTTCCAGACAAACTTAATCTTTAAGAAACTCCTAGATAACAAGAAAAATTATTGTAGTATTTATGTTTTATTTTTATTTGTTTGTTTAAGTTAATTATAAATACCATTGGAGCCCAGATCTGGGTCGACGGCTTTCACTTGAAAAACAACAGCTGGCACTGTAATATTCTCCAAAATTGTAAGATTAAACGCATCCTTAAGTAAAATAACAAAAATGTATGACAGCAAATCCAGTCAGTTCCCCTGACTAAAAAAAAATTCTTCCTATGTATGTATATAATGAATGTATAATAATAAACAGATTAACGATACACCAATTACCGAGTCAAATTTTGGCTCATTGTCATTGACATCCAAAACGGCAATTTCTACCAGAGTATCTGAGCTCATCGGCGGATCGCCCTTATCGGTTGCAACAACAGAAAAGCGCAAAAAATCCAACGTTTCACGATCCAATTCACGTGCTGTTTGTATGACACCGGTAGTGCGGCCAATTTTTAAGAATTTTGATGATGGATTATCAGTAAGTGAATACTCAATTTCACCGTTCAATCCGGCGTCAAGATCTCGAGCAAAGACTGATACCACCGTAGTTCCAATCTGTATGATTACGATAGTTTATTTATGTTTTTTTCTCACCGATATTCATTTTAGAAAACACTTCTATTTGAAATTTAAGTATTCAATTATTTTTCGTAACTCCGAGAATTAAACTGCAAAGATATATACACATATTAATACGACGAGATAAACTACAAAACTTGGCGAATGTAAAAATTTTAGCGTTTTTGCCTTGACTTCCAAATATGCTATTTCAAGTGGTTCAAGCTACACTAGAGACCAAAGCCACAATTATAGACTTGGGCAGTCATATATAAAGAGATAATTTTAATTAGATTCTCTTTTTTACTCTTTCTTTGTTTTACGTACTTTAGCAATTAATTCTGCCCCTACACAAATGACCTTTCTGAACAGTTTCATAGACTGCAAACAATGCAAATATCAGATTTCTGGAAATAACTAACAAAGATATAACTCATCAGGAAATTCAATTGTATTGAAAAAATTTGACGTCCATCACATTCTTAATACAATTTCAGCAAAATTTCTCTTCACTGTAATCGATTGCAAATCATCTGCCTTCAGTTTATGTTATATAATAAAAAAGAAAATGTTCTATATTAATTTAACTGGTTGAAATTATAGATTTTATTTAAGAAAAACAAAGTTACCGGTGCATCTTCACGAACTTCTGCATAATAAGAATTTTTTTCAAATGTTGGTGTATTATCCTGAACATCTTTGACATCAATAAGCACTGTACAACTGGACGACACAGCTAAATCGAGACGTTCATATGCAGTTACCTTTAACACATGACGATCGAGTGTTTCTCGGTCCAGTAATTTTGCCAACCTTAAGAATACATTGTATTTTTTGCTGCTTTTTTTT